GCGTGGAGGATCCAAACGCACGATTGTGATGACAGTTTAGAGGTTTTATTCCTTCTTCTCCCCACGTCCGTTCCTCCCACCATCACCACCACCCCCCTCCACCATCCCTCCTTCCCCTGGGTTGTCAGCCGGCTTTTCTCTCCAATTATTCAATCTGGAACAATCACGGCCGTGACATTTCCGAATCTGACCTTCTCCGCTGGAGATCGCAGCCTGCCTGTCGCTATTTGCCTCCCTCTATTTCTCTCTCTCTCTCTCCTTTTTCCTGCACTCGCATCGCTTCTTCTCCTCCTGTCCCTCATCCTCCTTGAGTCCTCTCTCTCTACTTTTCTTATCCTTCACTATCTCATCCACATGCACGGCCGCCCGTCACATTCTTCCTCCACTATGATATGTCATTCATTCTAGCTGCGGGTCCTTTTTATTAATCTAATCTGACGCTAAAACTCCCTTATCTGCGTTTTCAGTCATTTGTAATGTCGCGTTTTCTTTATTTCATTATAATTTCGCTCGCAGCACACACACACAAAAAAAAAACGGCCTGCTCTTTTCGACGTACCTGCGAGCTGTGGTCTAATAAACATTGAAGCTCAGCCAAGCGTTTTCTGTCTGCAGGACACAGCCTTTCGTGTTGTGCTCTCTCTTGCTTGGTTATATGAATATTCCAACATTCATATGTGCATATTACGAGTCCCTATGTACGTATTTTTTTTGCCTGCATCATGGTTTGAGCGCACAGCCGCAAGCGCCGGCGCAGGTTCATGGGATCTCTAACAAAGCATGCTGGTTCCTTCGCTGCACATTATTCTTTGAGAAGTGTGCCCTTTAAACAGGCTTCCTGCCTGTGTTATTATTTTATTGTCTGGTGGAGTTGCCCCGAGCATGTGTTAGCATTAGACATGCTTACGCGGGTTACCTATCCCTCTGGTTGTTTAGCATTGAGGCATTTTCTAAATCAAGGAGCTCTTTAGTTGCCGTAATACAGTGGTATCGCATTGGCTTCAAGGTTTCCTGTAATTCATGTTTCAAATGTGTCTGAAATTGTTTAAATGCCTTGAATGACCCTGTAACAATATTGAATGCCGTCACACCATTTCTAAGATTTTGTAGCTATATGCGACTAAGTATTAGAGACTAATTTGTACTTAGCAGTGAGCTAAATCTGGCAAAACCTACTTCATGAAATAAGATGTTGTGAATTTTTAATAAAAAAAAAATAGTGCTGCTGGGCAAAGATTAATTATGATTGGTCACATCCAAAATAAAAGTTTGTTTTGACATAACGTGTGTTGGTTTTATACAATTGAAACCAGAAGTTTACATACACTCTAAAAAAAAGAAACATAACCATTTTTAAAAAGATGTCTGATAGTAAATCATACTAAACGTTTACTATTTTAGGTCTGTTAGGATAACCTACATGATTTACATTTGCTAAATGCCAGAATAATTTTTTTGAGATTTTTTTTTATTAATTTCTAGACAGTCAAAAGTTTACATTTCCTTGGTATTTTTTTAGCTTTGCTTTTGAACTGTATAACTTTGGTAAAATGTTTTGGGTATCCTTCCACAAGCTTCTCACAATAGTTTGCAGGAATTTTGGCTCATTCCTCCTGACAGAATTAGTGTAACTGAGTCAGATTTGTTGGCTGTCATGCTCGCACAAGCTTTTTAAACTTTGCTCACAAATTTTCTATAGGTTTGAGGTCAGGGCTTTGTGATGGCCACTCCAAAACATTCACTCTGTTGTCCTTAAAGCACATTTTAGCTAATTTGGCATTTTTACATAATGTTCTTTCTTCATGATGCCATCTCTGCTGTGAAGTGGACCAGTCCCTCTTGCAGCAAAACAGCCCCACAACATGATGCTGCCGCCCCCATTCTTCAAAGTTGGGATGGTGTTCCTAGGCTTGTAAGCTTTCCCCTTTGTCCTCCGAATGCAACACTGGTCATTATGGCCAAACAGTTCAATCTTAGTTTCGTCAGACCACAGGACATGTCTCCAAAAAAATATTATTTTTCCCAGAGTATTTTAGCAAATTGTAATCTGGCTTTCTTGTTGATTCTGGCTTGTTTGTTGATTTTCCCATGTTGTCACACAAGAAAGCAGTTTGTTTGAGATTTTCCTTAAATATTATTCTACAGTTGTGCCTCTAATTAACTCAGATGTTGTCAATTAGCCAATCAGAAACTTCCAAAACCTTTACACAATCATCTGAGCTTTTTCAGAGGCATAATAATCTTATTGTATGTAAACTTGACTTTTTAGGAAAAATTATAACATTTTCTCAACAAATATCTCTCTCATTATTCTGCTATTGAGCATAACAGAAACTAATTTGATAATCCTAACTTACCTAAAAGAGAAAAAGTTTAGTCACTTTAACATCTGACTTTTTTAAAATGGTTATGTACCTTTTTATGTAGTGTATGTAAACATCTGGTTTCAACTGTAGTATGATTTTGGTTGTACAATCTGATCACTGTTGGTAAAAATGACTTCCTGTATCTTTCTCTTTAACACCGAGGTTGAATTAATCATGCACTAAAAGAGCTTGCACACGCTTGGACTGTATCAAAATAGGGGATGATTATCTTGGTTTTTCATACTGACAAAATTTGTCCATCATTCAATCATGTGCAATCTCTTCTATAGTGGGTTTAATTTGTTTTTGAATAGTTTTCCTTAGATTTTCTTACATTTTTAAAAATGCATTTTTCTGTCAGGGTTATGGTGAAAAAAAGGTATTTAAGTTATATAATAGTACCAAAAGTTTATCAAACAATGCATCGCTTACTGTTTGTGCTTTTTCAAAAAGTTATGGTCTATTGTAGGGACACACATATGCAACAGAAATAATGAGATACTCAGACAAGCACAGAGACCTCAGTTTTTATACATACAGCGCACAATGACAACTGTCATTTTGTTTATTTTTTGTGTATGAAAGTGACATTTTGAGTAGAAAACAAACTCAAGGCTACAACATCTATTAACAAAATCAATGATAAAACTATATATACAGCTTGAAAATGTGAAGCGACCCAATGCATAATGGGAACACAGATGACAGAGGTTTTACCTAGTTTTATTACTTTTATTTATATTCTCAGAGAATCATTGTTAACATGACTAGCAAAGTCAAATATATTAATAAAATAATTTCTACACTTAAAAATAATTTCAGTCATTCATTTTCTTTTCAACTTAGTCCCTTTATTTATCAGGGGTCACCACAGCTAACTAATTAGTAAGTAACACAGCTTACTAATATTAAAATAATTACAATGATTAAATAATTAATAATTATTTAAATGACTTTTTTAAATTACCATGTCTGAAAAGTAATTTAATTTATCATGAAGGATTTTAATTGCTTGACTTAATTCTACTTTATATCCCTATTAATATCAATGCACAGACATTCATTTATTCATTCATTCATTCATTTTCTTATCGGCTTAGTCCCAATATTAATACGGGGTCGACACAGCGGAATGAACCGCCAACTTATCCAGCACGTTTTTACGCAGCGGATGCCCTTCCAGCTGCAACCCATCTCTGGGAAGCATCCACACACACACACAAACACACACACACACACACACACACACACACACACACACACACACACACACACACACACACACACACACACACACTATGGATAATTTAGCCTACCCAATTCACCTGTACCGCATGTCTTTGGACTGTGGGGGAAACCGGAGCACCCGGAGGAAACCCACGCAAACGCAGGGAGAACATGCAAACTCCACACAGAAACACCATCTGAGCCGAGGTTCGAACCAGCCACTCTGCGACCTTCTTGCTGTGAGGCGACAGCATTACCTACTGCGTCACTACGTCGCCAATGCACAGACAATAGAATTTAAATTCCTTAAATTTGAGTCAAACATGGCCTGTAAGCTTTACTAAACATGCTTAAGCATTTTAATAAACAAACATTTCATTTCTTTGTTAATAAATAGAATTACTCTCCATAATATACATATTATAATAAAATATTTAGGCGAGGCAGTGGCGCAGTAGGTAGTGCTGTCGCCTCACAGCAAGAAGGTCACTTGGTCGCTGGTTCGAGCCTCGGCTCAGTTGGCTTTTCTGTGTGGAGTTTGCATGTTCTCCCTGCGTTCGCGTGGGTTTCCTCGGGGTGCTTTGGTTTCCCCCACAGTCCAAAGACATGCGGTACTTAGAGTATGAGTGTGTGTGAATGTGTGTGGATGTTTCCCAGAGATGGGTTGTGGCTGGAAGGGCATCCGCTGCGTAAAAACTTGCTGCATAAGTTGGCGGTTCATTCCGATGTGGCGACCCCGGATTAATAAAGGGACTAAGCCGACAAGAAAATGAATGAGTGAATATAATATTCATTAAAACATTAAACATTTACATACAATATATTAATTACTATCTTAAATAAATGTTTCTTAATTCTGTTAATTCTTAATTCTATGCAATCATCATGATACCTGTAACTTTTAGCTGAAAAACATAATTGTTCACAAAATATATTTGTATAATAAAAATACAATTATTCTATTTTTCCGAATTGATTTATACTGAATTATAGATGTTTTTTACTGCATGTAAAGCAAGTATGTTATAAGTAACTGTAATCAAATTACAGAAAAATGAACAGTAATCCATTATTTTATTTTTTCAAGTAACTTAATTAAAGGAACTAGTTACTACACTCATTACACCCAACACTGCTCATAATGGTCATACATCTCCATTTAAATCATTTTTAAATAAACAATGCTGTTATTATGACAAATAGATTTTTACAATATGTTACTTTTTAAAATTGAAATCATTAAATGAATAAAAGAGTTGAAGAATGTAAAACTTTGGCTAAAATGCTGTTTAAATAAAGCAAAGCTCAAATGTAAAGACTAGAAAAATCTGTTTTATAAAGCGAGGTTAATGTGTGCCTGTTTTTTGCACATGTGTATTGTGACACACTCTGTTTCTGCATTTTCAGGGCAGCACAATGATGCCCGCATGAACCTGGCCATCGCTCTTACAGCTGCTCGACATGGTGCTGCTATTGCTAACTATACAGAAGTGGTTCATCTGCTAAAGAAACCAGACCCCAAGACAGGCCAGGAGAAAGTATGTGGAGCCCGATGCCGAGATGTGGTCACAGGTGAGAAATGACCAGGATGAAATTTAAATTAACTGCTTTAGTTCAATAGTAAATTACATTTCATTACATTTTAAGTTGACTTCAGAGGGGAGGAAATGTATGGAAGAGTAATGTGTAGTCATATTTTGGAAATATCCAAATATTTTTTGCCGAAAAAATATTTATTGTCAGTTGCACCGTTTGATGCACAGTTAACAACACAAAAGTCTTTTTCAAACTAAACAGCTTCCTGTTGGTCAATACAGTGAATAGATATGAATATGTAAATAAATACCTCTCAGTAACATAACAGCTAGCTCTTTGCAACTCTCACATGGTCGCTCACTGAAGCTATGCAGGGCTGCGCCTGGTCAGTACCTGGATGAGAAACCAAATGGGAAAGCTAGGTTGCTGCCGGAAGTGGAGTTAGTGAGGCCAGAAAGGGGTGCTCAACCTGCGGTCTGTGTACGCCCCAGTATAATGAAGGGGACTCTATATTTCTCAGGATGAGATGTTAAACCGTTAAAAATCCAAGGATGCCCTTCGACATCAAGAGTAGGGGTTTAACCCCGGCATACTGGCCAAATTTGCCCACTGGCGTCTTAACCATCCCCATATCATAATTGGCTTCTTCTCCTCTCCACCAATAAGCTGGTGTGTGCTGTGCCCTGGCAAATTATGGCTGCTGCCGCATCATCCAGGTGGATGCTGCACACTGGTGGTGGATGTGGACACTCACCCTCAATGTGAAAAGTGCCTTGAGTGTCCAGAAATGTGCTATATAAATGTATAAGAAATTTAAAACACACACACACACAGACACACAAAATGATACCAGGGTGAAAACCGCAGTTAAAGGTGCAGTAGAATTGTTATCAGAAACTATTTTTGTGCTGGTTGAAATTCTCTTCACTTTCTGATAGAAATCATTAAATAAAGTGGTACAGGGCTGCAGGATACTCCAAAATTATGCAATATTGTTGAGTATCGCAATAACAATATAACATTTGTCTACAAAATTATTTAAATCATTTATTTATTTAATGATATTAAAACAAACATGAACAATATATTTTTTGGATCTAATTAATTCTAATTCATTCAAAATAATGTCAAGTCAACTGTGTCAAGATGCAAACATTAAGGGAAAAAAACATGACATGAAGAGCATGGAGGTAGTGGTTTTATATTTATGTAGAAAATATACTTTTTTGAACCAAAAATAATGAATTAATAATTAATCCTTTAAATTTGTCCTTTGTAAAGATATTTGTGTATTGCTGTACGTCCAGTGTGTATTAAGCAATGTGTAAACGTTTTACACCTGCACAGGTGCATAACATGCTCTGTGCTGGACTTTAGAGCAGCTTTCAGTTGGTCAATGGCACAGTCTATTTCAGTTTCTCAAATTAGCAATGCACCAACAGTGCGCCTTAACACATCTCCTTTTTAGACTGGTACTCCCATGAGTCAAAAAAGTGGCGCAAATGAATGCTATTTAAACATTGTGGTGCAAAAAGTGAAAATTAGGGTTACGCTGGTCTGAAAATAGCAACAAATCGCACCATACACGTTTTGTGCCTTATTGTGCTGAGTGTAAAACAGGGCCCTTAGACTTTAAAACACTATGAATGAGTTAAAACCTCAGCACAAATTCTGACTTTGATTGGCTGTCGTTATTTTCCTCTCGTCTCAATTCCTGCCATCAGTTTTTATTTTTCAGCTCTAGTCAGTAGCAGAACAGCTACTGGGGAAGTGGGGATAAAGATAGTAAGGCCCCATCTGATTGGTCAAATTCATATAAACGACCAATACATTAAATAAATGTAATTTATTACACGCCTGCGATATATATACTAAATATACTGTTATAGCAAAATAATGTTGCGATTAATATTGTGCAGCCCTAGTCCCAATGAATTTATATGTATTTTACTATTCTGTGGAAGGTGTAGGACCTATAAAAAGTGCGTCCAATCTAAACGTTCGGTCCTAACATTATGATAGGCTGTCCTATCTGTTTGTCAAAATTGCACACCTATTCATGCAAAAGAGGATTACGTCATCGGCACTTTCACAAACACTGTTTAAACAGAGAATGCAAACAACAACAACCTTCCTTCTTTTTAAAAGTTTGGTATAATCACTAAATGTACTTTAAAAATGTCTCTCTTGTTATTATTACATGATGTATTGTAGCTATGTTGTCTAGTTCTCGTTCGTGTTCACGTAGGCTTTCAGTGCTATTACGTTAGCATTATCCTAGATCTCCTATTACACCTTCATGAAAGCATCGGATCAAAGCAAGATTGATATATTTGCACAAGCTCTGCAATAAGCTCGAATCATGTCAGCAGATTTCGAAATTAAAATTACATGATGGTTGGATTATAAAGTGAGATTAAAGACCTTTATCTGCATATAAAGCATTGGCATTACAGTGCAAACTAGCCCTTTTGGGAGTTAACTGAACATTTTATTAAAATATTATGTCATAAGACAATAGAGAGGTTTTCAGGAGCCCAGCGGTAAACTAATCACCTTTCAATAGCTTCTTTACCTTTTCAGCTCATAATCCTTTCATGAAGAGATTTGTCTTCTACCCTCAGCAAATGCTCCCTCTGGTCAGTGGCGTTCAGTGAGTATAACACCTCTCTCTGCTGTTCACAGGGCAGGAGTTCGACATTCGTGCCAAATGTGTCATCAACGCCACCGGTCCCTTCACTGACTCACTCCGCAAAATGGACAACCAGAAAACTGCCAACATCTGCCAGCCTAGTGCAGGAGTACACATAGTCATCCCTGGATACTACAGGTACCTATCCTCGGCCCGGTCAAATTCTGCTGTAATTATGACAAATAACTAATTTCATGATGGAAGTAATGTCATATCGGGATAATGATGTATCATGACAATAACTTTTTAAAGAGTTAGCTCACCCAAAAATGAAACTTAAGTTATTAATTACTCACCAACATGTTGCCCTTCCATCACCTTTAAAGGGTCATGAAACACCAAAACACATTTTTTGAGCTGTTGACAGTCGTATATGTGTCCCACACTGCTAAAAACACTATTAAGACACCTATATTTCACTAAAAAGTGTAAATTGGTTGTTTTTGCGTTATTTCTAGCAAATTCGTACTTCCGGTTTGAAACAAATTTTTGAAGCTGCGTCACGGCCATGACATAATAGCCTGTATTCCAGCGTGCAGACTGGACGTCTGTGCCAGAGTGTGTCTTATCACATCTTACAGCCTGCTGCATTAATGCATGAGTAAGGCTTGGTTCAAACCTTGGTTCAGCGCGCTTTATTGTGCAACTTCATTAATATTCATTACTGTCACAGTGTTTAGACGACAGAGACGCCACGTTGTATTGGCAAGCGTGAAGTTTTGCTTTTATAGTTTGCTGCCATTAAGTTTTGTTTTCATTTTCTCTCTGTGAGAGATCAGCTGGAGTCACGCGTGGATTAACAGTGTACGCGACGCTCGACAACAATAACTTACGTGTCTAAGGAGGAACATTGTTTACCTGAGAGCTGTTCTCATCTGCAAACGCTGAGATCCGGATTCGCTTTAGTCTCCTCTTAATAAAGACGCGGCTCTAGTTGCTGTGGATTGTCCTGTCTCTACAGATTTGGTAAGTGAGCGACCAGTGCTCTTTGTTTATTCAGTTCGTATTTTATTCTTATCGAACAAACTATTGCACCGAGTGTAAACAAGTTAGCACTACAACCAAACTATAACCTCGTGTAGGATTTAGTGACCGGAATAACACACGCGGCTTTCTGACGCTACCTGCCGTGTGCATCTAAGTTTCCGGGAAATGCGGAGTTTTTTCTCTCATTAACCGTGCGGTATCAAACATTGCATGAAAATACAAGCTTAGAGCAGTTTCTTGAATCAAATATCACGTTTGTCGCGAGGGACATGAATGAATTCCCTGAATGAAAGAGCCAAACTGCAGTTAAAGTCCACCATTTAATAATTTGGCAAATAATTCGACTACAGAAGTCCATGTAAACACAGTCACATTGGCCGCTGTGGTTGTGTGTTTTGACTCTGAAATTCAGCGCGCCCAAATAGACACTCCCACACCAAGCCTCTTTTCTTCCTCCGACACTCCCCCCTAAACAGAGCTGGACACGCCCACTTTTCTGACTTTTTCCAAAGTAGAGGTGTGAAAACACCCTGCTGATACGAGGGGGTTTCATGCCCCTTTATCATTCGTTTATCTTCAAAAAAAATTGAAGACATTTTTGATGAAGTCTGAGAGCTCGCTCATCCTCCACCAAGGATCCAAAGACTAAGGGTCCAGAAAAGGAGCCAAAAACACTCAAAACATGAGCATTATTTCTCAGATCAATGGGAGCACCTATTGATGCATTATTACCTACACCTGTCACTTTTTTCCAACAGCTGTCCAATCACAGTGGAGGAGGGGTGTGGTAATAATACACATGCCAGCTGTCATAACATGTTCATTACATTAATTGTACGACATACAGACTATAAAAACTTATTCTCCCCCCACGTCAGATCAGGGTGTGCATTTACTATGGGCAGTACAACATATTTGCCAAAACAATAAAACAAAAAACGCTAAATTGTGCTGTCTATAATCCCTGATAATAACTCCTGTATAGTAGTCCCACAGCATTCTGACACTCGATGACACTTGAATACCATGTCAGAAAAGTCTAGTGACTCGTAAAGGGCTTTTTACAGTGTCTGCTATAATGTTAATGTTGTTTTTGTGTTACATCGTAACATTTTATTGTTATGATAACATGATATCGTTGCCTTCAGTGATTTCCTAGAGATAAATACCAAAAAACAACACAACTGGAACAACTACAGCAGTCGCTATCGTCAATCTCATATGAAGCAAGAGATCGCGATGATATATGATGACGTGTGCAGGTGCTGTAGCGCTGTCCCATTTCTTAGGGGTAAATTTTAAGGCCCTTCCTATTCAAGGAACTGAGGCCTTACTAACACTAGGTACAGTTGCCTCGAACCGGGCCAAAGCACGCTTGTCCCCCCTCCCGTCTACCCCGATGGCCCGCGCTCACACCGCAAACGGGCTTCGGCACGCTTACGTCATCGCTGCTGCGCTGTTCAGTGAGAAGCGCTCTCTCACTCAGCAGCACAGTGGAGATTTCTCTAGTTATATCGTTTCAGTCGTTTGATATGCCGTCAAATATTTTGCCAAACAGTCCTTAGGGATGCGGGGACACGCAGTCAGATATTTCGCTGAACAGATCCGCCACTTTTGGCGCTCATAAACAATCATAAAGCTCTCGTGCTGCAGGAATGAGGAGGTCTGCTGAAGGCGCGCAGCTGTCATGCAGTGAGGTGTTTGCGTCTTTAATAAACTACGGCAGTTTGCGTTCACTGAACAGTAAGAATGATTAATAAATCCATATGAAACAGCCCCTTAAAAGTCACGTCTCGCTTTCAGTTTCAGGCTTTGGCGCGTTTTGCACTCACACACAAGCGTACCGCGCCAAAGCCCAAGTGAACCGGGCTCAGGCACACCTCTTCCAACCGGGCCAGGGCCGGCCAAGTGAACCATGCTTGAGCCCGATTCAGCGCACTCACACTTCTCAAACGATCCGTGAAACGGGCCTGGGCACGGTACGGATGTCATAGTGTGAGTAGGCCCATAGTTTCAAGGGCAAAGAGGAAGGGATAGAGGTACAAAAATATAATTGGTATTGGGCTTTAGTCTTATGCCTTCAAGCTAAAGAGAATTGAGACACCCCCACCCCTTAACATGAACACGCAAGGGCTAAGAGGTAGAATTGGGATTGGGCCAAAGCATTAGCCTAATCAATATGATTTTTCGACACCATGAAATAAACGATAAAGCATAATATAAGACAAGATACTTTATATTTCATCCTTATGATATATCTATCTCAATATTGCACAGCCCTATACTGTTAACGGTTATAGATTTGTATCGTACATCTGTGTCCAACCTGCAATTACAGTCCAGACAACATGGGGCTCTTAGACCCTGCCACCAGTGATGGCCGTGTCATTTTCTTCTTGCCCTGGGAGAAGATGACTATCGCTGGCACCACAGACACTCCTACTGAAGTCACAGCTCATCCCATCCCAATGGAGGATGACATCAACTTCATCCTGAGTGAAGTCCGCAACTACCTCAGCCCCGATGTAGAAGGTAACGTTATTTCACCTCTGCTTTTCCTTTTGAATGCTTCTCAAAATGTCACATTCTGCACTTATGTCAACAGGAAGTATAAATAACTTTAAAGCAAAATACAAAACTGTTGTTTTGTCTCAAATTTCAGATTTTTGGCTTTTTTGGCTCTTCATGATGTGTTGCTTCAGTCTATTGGAAAGGCAACATCCGAATACAACTTAAAAGAGATAGTGAAAATGTATTATATATTCGTGTGGTTTCAAACCTTTTTTGTTTGATTATTATTTTTTTGTTTTAATAAATTATTTTGTTAGAAACCTATAACCATTGACTTGTATAGTGGGAAAAACAAATACTATAGAAGTCACCAAAATTGGACAAATCTGCAGCAACTGCGTGATGCTATCATGTCAATACGGACCAAAATCTCTAAGGAATTTTTCCAGTATCTTGTTGAATCTATGCCACAAAGGATTAAGGCAGTTCTGAAGGCAAAAGGGTGTCCAACCCGGAACTAGTAAGATGTACCTAATAAAGTGGCCGGTGAGTGTATATGTATAAACTAAGCTGTCAACAAAGTTAAAGAAACATTTTGAACGTAGTTCAAGGTTTCTGCTCTGCTTCTGTCCAGGTTTCTGCTCTGGAATTTTCTGCACACGAGTGCTCATTTATTTAGACAATGCCTCATTTGCATATTTAAATTTATCATAAAGCTTTTGATACTGAATATGTTTTCTGTATACAATATGGAAGTATATTATCTGAAATTTTCACCCTATTTACCTGAGGGTCTTAGAAATGCAGTAACAGACATAAATTCAACACCCCTGGAGTGCTGGTTGATTTACTGCCTTAGGCGAAAGAAGACATTTCAGACAGTTTTGCGGTTCTTTGCATAATGCATATGTCTTAGATGTGTCTAATTGTATAGGCTTAATTTAGTGAGCTAGGGAGTGTAAATCCTGACCTAATTTAGACCTTTTCTTTAATAAATGTGTCTCAGCTTGACAGGTTGGTAATCGTAAGGAGGTTAATAATCCTGGTTCAGATCCTTTCTAACAATTCCAGTATCATTAATTAATTTACATATTTTGAGGAAGAAATGTTGAAACAAAGGAATACCACAGGATACAATTTAGATGGTGTATTAAGTTGAAACTACTGTAGATCTACATAGATGGTGTTTACTTTGTATTTAGACTCTGTATATTTGAGGTGGCATCATAATCGAATGAAGTGAGGAACTAGGGTGCGTTTCCAAAAACCATCGTTAGCCAACTAAGGTCCCAAGTTTCGTCGTTATAAACATAGTTTGTTGATTTGGCGTTTCCCAAATCCATCATTCTAACGAGCATTCGCATACTGCGTCACAAACTTGCATGTTGTCAACTACACCTCTAGAGCTGAGTTAGAAGTATAGTTCCTGACTGTGTTCTATTCCCAGTTATACCCCTTATGCTCTATTTCGTTAGAACGTAAAAATTTAAACTTGGAATGGAAAAAACATTAAAGCCATCTCTTTTAGCTGTAATTTGCTTTCAAAGTATTACAGTTCAGTTTTAGCGATCATCATATTTACAGATGCGTTCCCTTAGTAGTGCACTTTGAAAACATTTATGCCATTTTGAACGCAGCCATGGCTCATGATAAAAGCTTTAAGTGACTTATTATTTTAAAGCAGAATTTGCATTTTCAGGGATATGATTCTTCCATATAAATACGGATTTCCGTATTTTCCGAGCTCAATGGGGCGACCCCTGTCATTTGCGTAAATCCAAAGTTTTTATTTTTTAAGGAGGGGGGTGGGGCATGGTCTCGTCTTCCTTCTTTTTATAATTTGCAGAAAAAATTAAGTTTTTTTCTCTAAAGAAGTTAAGAAGTTACTTCAACCTGTTTAAAGTGTCATTATGGGTGTTTTACGTTATAACTAACATGGTTCAAATGATGGGTCTGTGACAAAGCAACTACGGTGTTGGGAAACACTCGTCACCACATCATTCTTTTCCCAAGCGATGCATCGTATTATGATAGTTCAGCCATGAGATACACCCCTGGCTGGACTATATTGGTCTCTTTGGTTTATACTTTCTGTACATTCAGTAGTGCTGTCATGTTGTTGTTTTTTAATAGTAGAAAAACAGGAAAGCTGCATTCCCAACGTAGTCTCATGACAATATGTAACATTTTTAAAAAATTAATATTATTCAAACACTCTTATTTGTACATTTTAGTACATTTTGCTCATCCCTAATTAGGACACCATGACGGCAAAAAAATACAAATACAGTGCTCAGCATTATTGAGTACAGCCCATTTTGGAAATGAATATGTTTATCCATTTCTCAGTGAACATGGGTAATGTATTTTTGTGCATTTAAATAAAACAGATTTATTAAACATATAAATTTATTGAAATAATATTTTAGTCACCAAACATAATTAGAAATTGAAGGATAATACAATTAAATTCAAGCTAAATATTGCAAAAATAAAAAAATCAACTATTTTTTTCAATTGTTTTGCTTCTCTTGATTTTTTCCTCTCTTTTAAAGTTGTATTTATTATTTTTCTATAATATATAAATTTAGCTGTACTAGTTTCTGAACCATTATCGTTATTTTAAGTTATTTTAACCATTATCGTTATTATAAGTTATTTTGATAGATACGCTCCAGAATTGGCTTTAGTACTGACTTATCTAATGTATAAGCACTAATATAATATTGTTTGGCTTTCTATTAAAAATATTTAAAGATAGATTTGTTGAAGTCAAAACTTAAAGTTGTTGAACTTAAAGTTGAAGTCAGAATTATTAGCCCCTTTTTTTTCTTTTTTAAATATTTCCCAAATTATGTTGAACAGAGCTTGGAAATTTTTACAGTGTGTCTGATAATATTTTTTATTCTGGAGAAAGTCTTTGAAAGATTTGTTTTATTTTGGCTTGAATAAAAGCAGATTTTATTTAAAAAAAAACATATGTAAGGTCAAAATTATTAGCCCCTTATATGTTTTTTTTTTAATAGTCTACAGAACAAACCATCAATTTGCAATAACTTGCCTAATTACCCTAACTTGCTTAACTAACCTAGTTAACTTAGTTAAGCCTTTTAATGTCACTTTAGGCTGTATAGAAGTGTCTTGATTAATATCTAGTAAAATATTATTTACTTTCATCATGGCAAATATAAGATAAATCAGTTATTAAAACTATTTTGTTTAGAAATGTGTTAAAAAAATATTCTCTCTGTTAAACAGAAATTAGGGAAATAATTAAACAGGGGGGCGAATAATTCTTACTTCAACTGTATATATGCTGAGCACTGTATAAAATATAATAATACCTGTCTCCACGTATTTTGACTGAAACTGCTCACATATTTGCATGCGATAATTTTTTGTGTTTCTAAAGGCAACCCTAATTTGACGTTTACATCTGATTTATTCATTTGTTTTCCTTCAGCTTAAGCAATAAGTATTTACTGTCATTAATAATAATAATGATAATGTGCTAAAGATTACTAGTAATTAAACCAATTTCTACAATTTGCTTTTCCTATCTTTTAGTTAAAAAAAAAATCACTTTTTTTTTTTTTTTTTTGGTAGAAAATATTTATGGCAAATACATTTTTGTCACTGGCTATTAAATAAATCTTACTTTTAAGGATTTGATAAATCCTTGTTGCTAAAAAATAAATAAGTAGAGCAAACAATGATACAGTTTGATAAGTCAAAATTATACTCCTCGTGTTTATTTTTTAGTTAAGTATTTTAGACATTGTTTAACAGAGCAATTTCCTTGTTTGTTTTATTTCGGCTAGATTAAAAGCAGTTTTATATTTTGAAAAAATAATTTTAAGGTTAATATTATTAGCCCCTTAGGCAATATTGTTTTACGATTGTCTACAGAACAAACCATTGTTAAACAATCATATCCAAGCCTTTACATGGCATGAATACTAGTAGCTTGAAAAATATCTAGTAAAATATTCTGTTCTGTCATCATGGCAAAGACAAAAGAAATCAGTTATTAGAAATTAGTTATTAAAACTATTATGTTTAGAAATATTTTGAAAAATCTTTCTGTTAATTAGTAGAAAAGTAGAAAATATATACTAAGGGGCTAATAATTCTGACTTCAACTGCATGTCTTAATAACTATTTTTTCAATTGCATTCAAAATCTATATGATTCCTATTTAAGAACAGACAGACCGGCAGTATACTAGACAGACAAGCTTGTATTGGCTGCGTTAAATCTAGTAACTACTACTTGGGACTGATAAATCCTCCACGCATCACGTCTCTATCTGAAAGCGCAGGTATTGATTTGTGAGCGCAGCCCTCTAATTGTTCAAAGCGCCAAAGATGCAGCCTTGATTGCTTGATTGATTAGCTTCATAACTAATTTTCCCTCACACACACACACACACACACACACAAAATGCTTCCTGCTTTTCTCTGATTGTTGAACAAGTCGTTAGGAGTTTGTCTCAGTCAGTGCTGCGTGTGTCTTTCAGCTACTGTAGAAAGTCACCCAGCTGTCTGTATTTAACAGAACATGCGCTGCTGCATGCCAGGGCGTTTCTGCTTTGTTCTGGGCAGGAATGAGCGACCGGGCAATTCAGTTAAGTAAAGCAGAGATGGAGGAATGACACAGAGACCTTGCCTGGATGGAGGGGTTTGAGGATGGACTTTACTGAAGGGGTTTGGCTGTGGGAGATTTGTCTCGCTGACAGTGTAGAGGAAAGATCTCCCCCTCAAGTAGAGATTTTCCGCAAGAGAGAGAAAAGAGGATGATTGTGAAGATTAATGTTTTGATTCAATCATTCATTTTCCTTCGGATTAGTCTCTATTTCAGAGGTCGCCACAGCGGAATGAACCGCCATTTATTCTAGCATATGTTTTACCCTGTGGATTCCCTTCGAGCCACAACTCAGTATTGGGAAACACCCATACACACTCATTCACACACACAGTCATATCCTACGGACAATTCAGTTTGTTCAATTCACCTATAGCGCATGTCTTTGGACTGTGGCGGAAAACAGTGCACCAGCAGGAAGCCCACACAAACATCAGGAGAACATGGAAACTTCAGCCGGGATTTGAACCAGTGACCTTCTTGTTGTGAGGCGACGGTGTTAACCACTGAACCTCCGTGCCACCCCAGATTACTGTTTTAACATGTAATAATTTACATGTTGGGTTGCAAAAATGGCTAATTCGCACAAATTTATACCTAAACCTATACCTCATTGGAAGATGAGTAAATCAGACTAAAATGTCGGAATTAAAGCAGTGGTGCCCAAACTTTTTCGTTTGAAGGGCTAAAAACCTAATATCATTAATAGCTGTGGATCAAGATAAATATACCAAACTATTTTACAATAAAGTTGCCTTGGGTAATTTTCTAATTAATTTTACATTATTTAAAAATAAATAGAAAACCATCTTGAATCACATTAACTAACACAATATAATTTTATTATAACTTATTATATTATAATTATAACTTATTGCAATACAATCATAAACAATCACATTTATAACAATAGTTCAATGCTGAAAATATATACATTTATAACAATAGTTTAATGCTGAAAATAGTCAAGCAGAATCTGCCTTTGCCTCTGGCCGTCGGGTGACAGTATATACTGTACATTTAAAATTAAATCTGATTAAATGAAACCCTTTGAATTGAAACATTTTATTTCAGTTAGCTTTTAAAATGAATATTACAACAAACAAATAAAAGGTTAAATTAAATTTCTCAAATTCTAATTTTCTAACCATCCCCACCATTCTCCCTCTCAGATAAGATGGTGGGCCAAATCAAAAGTTACCTTCGGCCGATTTTGGCTTGTTCGCCCTAGTTTGGGCAGCTCTAAATTAAAGCATGTAAATTAATAAAAATTAGCCACTAAATTAAAAAGTGACAAATTAGTGTGAGATTGCTTTGAGTAAAACATGATTATGAAAACACCATCGTTTTTGCCAATAAATTTTTAATTGTAGAAAACTAAAATCTCAGCAGATTTTTTTTTTTTCCCCAGAAAGCCTTCTTATAACCTCCATTTTTTAAGTCATATACTGCCTTACAATTTGCTTTACAAAATTACAACTTTCTTTAAATAAATAACATATATATATATATATATATATATATATATATAGGTCACTGGTTCAAGCCCCAACCTATAGGTCAGTTGTCATTTCTGTCTGGAGTTTGCATGTTCCCCCCCTGGTTGCTCCAGTTTCCCCCACAAGACCAAAGACATGCGCTATAGGTGAATTGAATAAACTAAATTGGCCATATTTTATGAGTGTGGATGAGTGTTTATAGGTACTGGGTTTCAGCTGGAAGGGCATCTGCTGTGTAAAACATATGCTGGATAAGTTGCCGGTTCATTGCTGTGGCGATCCCTGATGAATAAAGATACTAAGCCTAATTAATGAATAAATGAAAATGATATTAAAGCTAAACACCGGCCTGTTTTTCTGTTCATTAGAGATTGTGAAAATTCAGATTTTCAATCAGTTAAAAAATGTATTTGATATTTGGTTTAGAGTCGGAACCCTGTCTGCAGATTATATACTTTTTTAGGTATTATTTAGCAACAATTTTGGTGAACCCTGCCAATTTGTGACCATTCAAACAAAATCGTCACACATGCATCCTCTCCTCTACACTAAAGTTAAAAAGTTGACTCAACTTAAAAGTTTAAGGCAACAAACTTCAGGACATTTTTGAGTTTACTCAACTTAAATCGAGTCAAATGCAGTAATTGGGTTGAAAGTTGAGTCAACTCAAAAATGTCCTGAAGTTTGTTGCCTTAAAATTTTAAGGTGAATCAACTTTTTTTACAGTGTAGATCCTCTGCACGTCATAAAAGTGTTACATCATCCTGAAACTGCACTGTAATAGAAAATGGTAGAGTAAAATATTTTCAATATTTCTCCCCTGTAAATTTATTTCTTTTTCAAATATTTCACAAATGATGTTTAACAAAGCGATACATTTTTTCCACAGTATTTCCTATAATGTGTTTTCTTCTGGAGAAAGTCTTACATGTTTTATTTCAGTTATTAGATATGAGTTATTAAAGCTATTATGTTTAGAAATGTGTCGATAAAATCTTCTTTCTGGTAAACAGAAATTGCGGGGAAAAAATAAACAGGGGGCTTATAATTCAGGAGGGCTAATAATTTTGATTAGTAAACTAAACGTAAATGAAATAGATGTAATTATAGTATTAGCTAGTAACTAATAGCTTTTAACAGTTAACGTTATTATAAATAAACAGTTAACCTGTAGGTATAAGAAATAGGTGATGTGTACATGTTCAATGAAGTCTATTAAGGGTTAAGTATTAATTCAACCAAAAAATCTTTCAAAAAATAAAGTAAAAATAAATGATATAGGCTTAGTATTGTCTAATAGGTGTAGTGATCGTGACTCTTGGAGAACTCAGTGCATTCCACAGCTTGGAAAATGGACTGAATACTCCCCCTGAGAATTAGATTACTTGAATGCATTCGACAGCCCAGCGGTCTATTGCTGAGGTTCATTTAGACTCAAGGTGTGTGTGTGTGTGTGTGTTATTGGTCTCCCAAGTCTGCTGTCTGCAGAGCTCCCTCGCCTTGTCATAAATGTTTCAGAGATGCCCTTTGATAATGAGAGTGCTGTCTCTGTTTTTCCCCCCATTCAGAAATATCAACCTGCATATTACAGTGGCAGGTGTACCGCGGATCAATACACAACTCCCTCTTAATAATTAATGCTTGAGATGTCACCACAATAGGGAAATTGACTCTGGCCCCGTACATGGTGGTCTTGTAACGGTTTGTTGGTTTAACAAAGTAACAAAGCAACTTTTTTACTGACAGTCTTGCATCCCGAGTTCCCCTGTGGTCATTTATCAAACAAGTAGACAACATTGTCATGGGTATATACTAACAATTATGAATATAGCACTGTAGCGTGGCCTATTGTAGCCCTGTCAATCACATACACGACACACACACACGTCAGCTGTCAGAGACGGTCAGTGTCTGTGGTTTCTCTGGTTCTCAGTGCGGCGAGGGGATGTCCTGGCGGCCTGGAGTGGTATTCGTCCGCTGGTCACCGACCCCAGCTCCAAAGACACGCAGTCCATCTGTCGAAACCACATCGTCAACGTCAGCGACAGCGGGCTCATCACAATTGCTGGTTAGTGCCACTAATTTGTAAGAAATATTTGACAGTTTTGAATGCTGTGAAAAAGTTTGTGAACACTTTTAAATGAATGCGTTATTTCTCATCAGGTCGCAGTTTTAATTGTTTTAAAAATTGGGCTTTTGTTTAATAAAACTTCTTTCTTTAAAGCAGTCTATTGTGCTATATCTATAACCTTACATGACTGGAGTGAGAAGTGCAGAGCTGGTGCAATCATTTCCATATTTCTGTCATCAGATGCTTTCTGAACTGCTGTTTTCACGCTGCTCTTATTTTTTTCTGCATATTTTTTCATAAGGAATGCATCGATGCAGATTTTTGGGCCGATACCGAACACTTTAGATTTGGATTTTGCAGACATATCTACAATAGTAAGGAAAATGATTACTTACTGAGTTTTTAACCCACAGCAATACCACACAAAGAAAGGATGGACTTTGAAGAAATAAACTGTGGTGAAAGCTCCATTAGTGCACTGAGCAAGTTTCACCCACCCATGTGCAAGGCAGGCAGTTCTGTATAATTAAGTAATCTATCGGCTTAAAAATATTGGTCAAATTTTGATATTGGATTGATAGCAATAACATTTAAAATAGCATTTATCAGCCGATAACGACATGGCCACCAATATACTGTATCTCTATTTTTTTTATTTTGAAAGGTCCTATTTCAACCATTTACCCTCTGTTTTGCATATTTACTCAAGTCACTCAAGATTGGACTGGTAGGGGGAAATGCCTGACAGCCTTTAGGGCGCACTCACACTATGCTATCCGAACCGTGCCCAGGCGCGTTTCCCGGATCGTTTGAGAAGTGTGAGTGCGCTGAATTGGTTCACTTGGCTGAGCCCGGTTCACTTGGGCTTCGACGTGGTACGCTTGTGTGTGAGTACAAAACGAGGGGGGAAGAGACAAACGTGCCTTGGCCCAGTTTGATGCAACTGTACATAGTGTGAGTACGGCCTTAAACAAAGATCAACGAGAAGCCCACTTCAAAGATGGGAAGTTTCACAGAAGTTTTTAGTGATAATATGCATTTTTAACAACTAATAATGTGTTTCATGTACACTACCGGTCAAAAGTTTAGGGTCAGTTTTTTTTTTTTTATGTTTTTTTTTTTTGGAAAACTATTCTGTTCATCAAGGTGGCATTTATTAAATGTAAAAAAAATGGTTAAAATGTTAAATAACTGCTTATTGTACATAGTTTCAAATAAAATTGTTACTCTAGTCATTATTGCTTTTAATAATATTTCCATTAATAATAATAATAATAATAATAATGTTAATAATTATTATTAATATTAGAGTGATTTCTGAAGGATCATTTGACTCTGAAGACTGGTGTAATGAAGCTGTAAATTCATCTTTAAAATCACTGGAATAAATTATTAAATTAAAAGATAAACTACATTTGAACAGTTATTTTATAGTGCAATAACATTTCACAATTTTACAATGTGTACTGTATTTTTGTTTAAATAAATGCACCCTTGGTAAGCAGGATAAGCTTTTTTTAAAACATTTAAAAATCATACTGACCCCAAACTTTTGATCAGAAGTGTTACTCTTAATCTTGTGTTTATATTTACATTCACGTTCTTAAAAAAAGTTTGCTTGTGTTACATCATTAGCTGACTTTAACACGATAGTTCCACATCACATTTCTGTCTTGTACCCACTGACTTGACAGCATATCATGTCAGAAATAAAAGTCCAGTTCAGCCCTGACATCCTTGTGGGAAGTGCCAGAGTTCGAGTACTGGCTTGCGGACCTTTACTGATCTTGTCAACCTTCTCTCTTTGTAACTTTGCTTGTGCTTTGCTATGTACAAAACTGTCCTATCATAGGCAAAAAAAAACACTGTAAATAAGTCTTTAAAGAAAGAAAATTCCAGTGGGGGAAATTTTGCTTTAATCGCACATCTGGTATCAACACATAATTTTAATACTCTGTTGATTTCTTATGGTATTTTAAATAATGGCTTTGCGATTTTGGGGAAAATATCTAATTGCGATTTAATTTTGTAGTCAAGCTGCTGCTCAATATTCTGTATAATCTGTAGCTTCTTACGAGCTAAAATGCAATGAGTGTTAGTTAAAAAAAGAAATTGAAAAGATACTAACTTACTTAAACATTTATTCAAATTAGTTTTTAAATGTTAAAAAATTAAACACAAATTTTTCTCTAGAGTAAACACAAATAAGAATGACCTGTTTTTGTTCGGGGTCTGTGACTTTGAAACCGAAATATTCCCATATTACCAATGTTCTATTTTTCTTATTATTAATATTATTTTAATTTGTCTGTTAATGCTTCAAATTTCATCATCCCGCACTCGTCACTCGTTTGTGCTTTCCTGTTTGTTTGTTTTGTTGTGGGCATTCCTCATAGTTCGGTTGCGCAATTCTGATTGGGCAGAATGAAGATGTGCTCACTCAATTGGCTAGTAAAACTATCACACACAGATGACAGTCACGCTTTTGCTCTAGGCAGTGGAAACTAAATAATACATATATATTTCATATTACAGCCGCTCGCGATTAGCTAATTGTAACATTTCAAATCGCAATTGCGATTCAATTTCGATGAACCGCACAGCCCTAATGTAAATAATATTAAATAAATATGTAATAAATAAATAGTAAATATGTAAGTATAAATATATGAACATGATAGCGAAGTGCTTGCAGCTTTTTAATGTTTTTGTATGGTATATATTTTCCCAGTACTGGGTTGCAGCTGGAAGGGCATCCACTGCATAAAACAAATCCTAGAGTAGTTGGCGGTTCATTCCACTGTGGCAACCCCTGATAAATCAGGGACTAAGCCAAAGGAAAATGAATGAATGAATGTACAGTATATTCTAATCATTAAAGAAGCATTTACAAAACAAAATTAAGCTAAATCATATCTTCTGCGCGCACAAGTTCATTATTTAAAATGGAGATTTGTGTCACATGCAATCCACTTGCATTTTCTATGCGCACATATAGCAAAGCGAATTTAAAACATTGACACTTTTTTGAATGTTGTAAGTGCACCGCGAGTCAGATGATAAGAACAACCAGCATCAGCTTCACAATCAGCTTCACATTGTGGATTTTACACATCTTAGTAGTTGTCACAATCACTAGCAATCTAATTCTGGCAGATCGCTAAAGAACTATAAAATTTGCTGGTATATGGACTACAAGTTCCAGTCATGCACCACACACACACATCTGTTCCAGATCATGATTGTTTACATTGTAAATACAGCACACACTCTTTGCTTTTGTGAACATTTCAACGTATTTTCTTTACCTTGCCTTGCCGGTTTTGACCCTCACCTTCTTTTGTTTGTTTGTTTGTTTGTTTTACGTTGTCTGCTGCCTGCCTTTTGACCATTTACCTGTTTACTGACCACAGCTTTGGATTGCTCGTATACATCTGTTTGCTCCTGTGTTGACTGTTGCTTGCCTTACCATTATCTGCATAATAAACCCTGCATTTGGATCCGCACCTCCACTGTCAGTGTCCCACTTCACATCACAGAAATAACTAATTACCTCAGACAACCGCAGAGCATCCAGAGCACCCAAAAACCATAACACTTTTGAATTATTTTAATTTAAAAAATGTATCAGAGCTACAGCTAGGGTTTGTCTGTGGTGGCTTCTCTGAGAGTATAGCTTATGGTTGCTTAGCACACGAGAGGCATGATTATATTGGCATTTTTCATATGGTTTTAAATGTTATGTGTAACTCTTTCTTCAGCTGTATAAAATAATAATAAAAAAATACACTAGATTAATTTGTAATAAGTCTTTACAACTGAGTAATAAGTGTTCAGCTGAGGTTGTATCAAGGTTTCATAGCACTCTGTTTACTGTAGGTGGGAAGTGGACAACCTATCGTTCGATGGCTGAGGAGACACTTGATGCGGCCATAAAGGCTCATAACCTCTCAGCCGGACCCAGCAGGACGGTCGGTCTGACGCTGGAGGGCGGGAAGGACTGGACTCCCACCCTGTATATACGCTTGGTTCAAGACTACGGGCTTGAAAACGAGGTGGGTTTTGAAGACTAACTACTTAGCATTCTGCCAGTCTGAGCTCTTTGGAGCTGGTTCAAACTGCTCCATAACGCTTCAGTCCCTTATGATTCAGTGGTGGGGAGAAAGTCTGGCAACCCCTTGTTTGGACGCGCGAGAGCTTGATGGAGCCATAGCGCTACCATGAATGTTGTTTTGCCAGCATATTTAAAAAGGTCAGCATGCAGATATTTTTGACAGCACTTGACCTTTGGTGAGAGATATAAAAGAAGAGTTCGAATCGAAGTAAACGAGGCCGTGTTTATTTGTCCAAACGCTTAATGAAGCAAAAGTGTTTGTAAGCTAGTTAAAGAGCTGCGACCAAAAGAAAACAACAACAGGATCCTGACAAGCTGAGTGAACATGTTCAAAACCTTAGAGTTGACTGATGACTCATGGATAATAAAAGATTTTTATTTTTGTCACTCACAGGTTGCCCAGCACCTGGCAGCCACCTATGGAGGAAGATCGTTTGAAGTGGCCAAGATGGCACAGGTGACGGGCAAGAGATGGCCAATAGTGGGGAAACGCCTTGTTTCTGAATTTCCCTACATTGAGAGTGAGGTAAGCACTCTGAAATATACACCTCAGGGAGCCCATTTGAAAACATACTATAGTAATTTGTAGTAAATACTAAAGTTGTATTATAATGTACAGTGCTCAGCATAATTGAGCACACCTCATTTTGAAAATGACTTTTTATCCATTCCTCAGTGAATATAGGTAATATATATTGGTGCATTTGACCAAAACAGATTTAATAAACAGATATATTTATTAAAATAATATTTTAGAAATTATCTTTAGAAATGAAAAATAATATATTTAAATTCATGCAAAGTATTCCAAAACCAATTACAAACTACAGCATTTTAAAAAAATTGTATATATTTTTTGCTGTGTATGTATTTAATAATTTTTGAACCATTATCATACGTTATTTTGATAGATTAGCTTTAGATAAGGCTTTAGTATTGACTAAACTAATGTAAATGCACAAATATAATATTGTAAAGCATCCTATACAAAATAATAATTTAAATGAGAGATTTTTGAGGGGTGTAGTCATATATGGTGAGCACTATATATATTATAGCAAGGGGGTCAAAGTCAATTCCTGGAGGGCCAGAGCCCTGCAGAGTTTAGTTCCAGCCCTGATTTAAAACACCCATCTGTAGGTATCAAACAAGCCTTAAGCACTCAATTAGTTTGATCAGGTGTGTTTAATTAGAGTTGGAACTAAACTTTGCAGAGCTGTGGCCCTCCAGGAACTGAGTTTGACCCCTGTGTATTATAGTGTTTGCAACACAAAACAGTGTACTGTAGTTTGTTTAGAAATTGGGTAATATTAGTTGTTATGCTACCACAACAACTACAGCATTTCCACAACAGATTAATTTAAGTACTTTACTATAGTATGGTTCATTAACACTTTAATATTTACCATAAATGGCTATACTTTCTTACTTACTTACTTCCAGGGCCATTTATATTGGAGTTGCTATTTAGCGGCACCATAATAGTGTTTCGTTATATCTAGTTTTAAGAGGTGGGTTGTTAGCCCAATGCTCAACCCCCAACCTGGAGGACCAGGACATACACACATACAGTTAAAGTCTGAATTATTAGCCCCCCTGCAACGGACAGAAGATTTTTTTCAACACATTTCTAAACATAATAGTTTTAATAAGTAAAGGTAAAGGGGTGGGAGGGTAATACCGGCCAAAAGTAAGGGGGGTGGGGGTAAAAAGGGTTGGGGAGTTATGGAAGATAGTGAAGAGTGGGGCAAGAGTATGTGTCGCGACGAAAGTGAAAAGGGTTGTGAAAGAGAGGGGTTGTGTCGTGGACGAATGTGAAAAGGGTTAGGGAGTCGAGGAAGAAAGTGAAGAGCGGGGCGAGAGGGGTTGTGTCGCTGACGAAAGTGAAAAGGGTTGGGTAGTCTTGGAAGAAAGTGGAGAGCGGGGCGAGAGCGGATTGTGTCTCGGATGAAACTGAAAAGGGTCAGGGAGTCGCGGAATAAAGTGAAGAACGGGGCGAGTGGGGTTGTATCGCAGACGAAAGTGAAAAGGGTTGGTTAGTCGTGAAAGAAAGTGTAGAGCGGGGCGAGAGGGGTTATGTCACGGGTGAAAGTGAAAAGAGTTGGGGAGTCGCAGAATAAAGAGAAGAACGGGGCAAGTGGGGTTGTATCACGGGCGAAAGTGAAAAGGGTTGGTTATCCGTAAAAGAAAGTGTAGAGCAGGGCGAGAGGGGTTGTGTTGCGGGCGAAAGTGAAAAGGGTTGGGGAGTCGCAGAAGAAAGTGAAGAGCGGGGAGATAGGGGTTGTGTAGCCAGATCAGATTTCAGAGGTGCTGAATGCAGTTTGTTTCCGCACAAATTAAGCCCTGACTATAGTAATTTTTAATGTGAGAACATTTAAGTTTGTAAATAATTCAAACACAATTTTGCATAAATTGCCCAAAAATACATTAAAGCATTGTTGACTGGTCACATTTGGTGACATATAGCAATTAGAGAATTGTGGTATATTGTCTTTTTTCTAAATATTTAAATACATTTTCAGAAGTTCATGCTTTGTCATTTAATGTGTGTCATTTCAGGGGTGAAAGTTAAAATTTTTTGGTGGCAAAAAAGGTCCATAGCATATTGCCAACAGTGCAGTGAGATTAAAACCAAGCAGCTGTGTGTTTTAAAGTGACGGCCGAAACAGGTGAAACAGTTGACCAACAGTTACAATAGAAACATTATTAATGTACACTAATGTTATCTATTCTAATCACTTTGAATTGACTGCATTTTGATGCAGTTTTAGTCACATTTCTGTGTAATTTAACTCTTCTCATATGACTGAAGTGTAAAAAAAATGATTACCTTTTACCATTTTCCTGAAAATCCTGCTGTTCATAGAAATCTCTAATTTATTCCTGTGTTATTTCTTCAGAGGCAAAGCTTAGCAAAGGATCAATTACTTTAAATGTCAGCATTAAAACTAAGCAAGACTCACTGTCGGCTTGAAAGCTGTAGCTCATATTTGAAATTATAGCAGATTATTCAGCCAACTTAAAAATGCAAAGACATCTGATCGTCTTCCAAACTGAAAATGGTGATTTCTGTCTGGTTTTAGGTGCAGTATGCTATAAAGGAGTATGCGTGTACAGCCATCGATGTGATTTCTCGCAGAACAAGGTTGGGCTTTCTAAACGTGCAGGCTGCGGATGAGGCTCTGCCACGCATTGTTGAGATCATGGGCAAAGAACTGCAGTGGACTGAGCAGAAGAAGAAAGTATGTAGTTTATGTTATGGTGTTTTTTATTAGAATGAAATCTTTTTTAATATTATGTGTGGGTTTTTAAATTAAAGCAGAATCTAGGACTGGGTGATATTGCAAAAAAATTTTACTTTTTCGTATCTTGAATGTCTCTGGCGAGTGCCATTCACGCCCGCGCTGTTCTGGCATCAACCCACCAGATGCTGCTGTCTGTCTCACCGAATGATTGACTGCGCAACCGGCCAATCGGCTGACCCACCCTCCTCTTTCCCTGAACCCAACCAGTTTTACCGATTGGCCCGCCTGACCGTTCACTTCACTAAACCCGAGCAACAATTTAGAAAAGCCGTCTATGACTGAATGTGGAATTATGGGAGTTTTGATCCTTATTACATCCTACGGGACTCCTGCAGAAATCATGTTAATGTATAAGCTAAAGAATTCAATACTTGTTATCGTCTAGTTATCATGGCAGTATGAAGCAGAGTTGGGATGAAAGTCAGTAAATAAAGGGGTATTTGCTTATGAGAAACGAGAATGACGCAGCATGAAAGCAGCAGAGCTTTTATTGTTCCACAGTCATCCACTTCTGTTCGTCTGGTAAAATTGCTTATTGTTTTGCATTTGAAACTTCTTCAAAACATTTTTGGATAATGTAAGTGAATAAGTCAGCAAAGAATATAGCACTATTTGGGATTTTTTATATTTTAATGTAAAAAATCTTATTTTTTGTGCCTTCCAGAAAAGCAGAATAATAAATAGTACAAAATAGTATTCAAACTGGTAATGGTAACATTTACCACTGTGTTAAGCACATAATCAGCACCTGAGGTGATCATTATCATAGTAGTTTATGTTTTTTGTTCAGCCACAACATCGCAGAAATAGAAACCCTTTCTAAGTGTGCTTTCACACCTAGACTTTTGTTTCGGAACCTGTCTCGTTTGCCCAGTTAGCGCGGTCTGTTTGGCATATGTGAATCCAGCAATCGCGCTCGGATCCGCGCCAAAACAATCACTCCGAGATCGCTTGAATGAGGTGGTCTAGGCTCAATTGAAACTAATTCTGGAGCGGAGCGGTTGTAGTGAGAAACCAATACGATCCGAGCCCAGTTATATCACAGTGTTTTATGGATATGTATAAGCTGTATATACAGCTATATGAAGAGAGAATTATGAGTAAGACGGGAGGTCATTCCAGACATTCCAAGTCTCCCAGAAGTTTCGGGAGTCTCCCGTAAATGCAAAGAGACTCCAGGATGGACTCTGCAAAATAGACTGTAAAACTCTGACCAATGTGAGGAGAGTTTACTCGCACATGACTTGTTTTAGCTATTTTGGCCTGTTTAGAAACTTTGCAGTGTGAAAGCGAACCGCACCAAGAGCAAAGAGCAACAATGTAACAATTTTAATCCCTGTTTCAGAACAACTGAATCGATTCACAGGTGTGAAATCTCCCTAAAATAGAAACTTTAAACGTCACTGTTTTGGGTGGTTAGTACAATAACTCCTTTTAACATAGAAAGGATAGCTTTTATCATGTGTTTATGCATCACATCATGTGTAGGTAGCAGTGGTGGGGAAAGTTACTTTAGAAAGTAATGCATTACAATATTGAGTTACTCCCCCCAAAAAGTAACTAGTCGCGTTACTTAGTTACTTTTTATGGTAAGTAATGTGTTACGTTACTTCTGTGTTACTTTTGAGTTACTTTTGCGTTACTTTTTGATACCTGGCTGTTTTTTTCCCTTCTTTTTTTAAATACAGGAGCTTAGCAAATAACACAGCACTGTATAACTGAACCTAAATTAAAGCACATAAAAAGTTTTAGGATAATGTTATATTTTAGGTTAATGTCTCTGACTCCAGTGCTATACATGCCGTATATACAGATTATAGAAAGTTTAAAGCAATATGTTTGCTACTTTTGTACTATTTGTCTTGGGTAAGATCCCTGTACATTGAGACAATCACCTTCTTCGATGTGTTCAAAAAATGAACACATTCTTTCATTGACTGCACAATTCATTGCGACTACTTTAATTTTAATTCTGCTTTTAATTCTGCAATGATTTAAAAGCTGATTAATTAAACTTAAAAGTAACTTGTGTTACAATTACATAAAAAGTAAATCAAATATTTAAAGTAATGCATTACTTTACTCGTTACTAGTAATATTATTACATAACTTGTAATGCTTTACACCCAGCACGAGTTACAAATCAAAAACACACACTCACACTTTCAATAAACAGTTTGACAGTGTCTGTCATAGGAAATTTGACATGAATAATTAGGCAAGATGTCTTCTCATAGGATAAGGACACAAAGGCTCATGAATATTTATGAGACATCGACGCATCATCAACTGCACTGATGTTATCTACCACATCCAAACATGTGACGTCGACACAGTGTAGCTTTGAACCCCAAAGACAAAAATAGCTCTTAAAAAATCTGAAAATTCATGAACATTTAAATGAGCGAATGCTAATATTGCCTTCTGTCACACTGACCACAAACATCTCAATTAAAATGCTAAAAAATATATATATTTCTATTATGTATTGAATTTATTCCTGAATTTAAAGAAAAAAAAACGGTTCTACCCTTTACCTTGAACCCAACATTTTTAAGTTTTTTCTCCCGACCCAAAAGCTAAAGGTCTCAGCCAGGTTAATTTAGGTAACCACTAATGAATGATAGACGTCAGCTATTGTTAGCTGGACTCTTAAATAGTCTCCAGTTTACGATAAGAACACAATTCAGTCGTACAATGAACGCCCTGCACAACACCTCTGCATGACTATGACTGTTACGTCTGAGCTCGCAGCAGTGTTTGTAAATGTGTGTGTGTAGTGTGTTTGTTAGCGGGTGATAGTGTTACTCCAGCTTTTGCGCGTTGGTCGAGGGTTTCCTGTCTGATAAACAGAAGCACTAATAATAGCAGCGATCAGTGTGCAGCTTTGATTCTGCTCTGTTCCCATGAGTTGAGCGTTCAGATCTGCTCACAATGCTGATGCACCACACCCGACACACACACACACACACACATGTATGAACACAGACGCAGTGCTCTGCTGAGAGACCTGATCCAGTGCAGGTGAATTACAGCTCTGCAAAGTCAGACTTTTGAATTTGGGCTAGTTTGAATTCTTTTTATTGCATTTTTCATTTTTTGCTGGAAATATATCAGTGTGTGATAATAAACGGAGCTGCAATCACATATACAACATGTCTGAATTTAAATAGACTAAAAATAAAAATTCATTTAAATTTATGCATTTAAATGTACATACAGTTTAGATACAATAAATACATTTTTGTTTAATATTTTTGAAAGATGTCTCTTTCAAATATGGGTTTGTGGAATTTTTTTTTTATTTTATTTTATTTTATTTTTTCAGACTTCTTTTATAAATGGGAAGTTTAAAAGGATTATAAATATTGTATTATAATTCACTGCCACTTAGTTATTGCATTCTTGCGGAGCCATTTTAATTTTTATATTGCTGTAGCTCAGTCCACCACCTTTATTCTTTTGAACATTTTAACCTTTTTTTAACTACTGCTACTAATAATTATAATTTCTTAAACAACAAATCAGCATATTAGTTATTTATAAAACATCATGTGACACTTAAGATTGAAATACTGAATACATTTTACAACCCCAAATCAGAAAAATTTGGGAGAGTATAGAAATAAAAAATAAAGCAGTGTTTTTTAAATTTACTTTGACTTGTATTTCATTGCAGACAATACAACAAACATTATTTAATGTGTTCCTCATGATTTTGATTTATTTTTAAACATGTATTCTTATTTTGTGTCTTGCAACACATTTTTAAAAAATTGGAAGAGACCACTTTGTAATGTTGCCATTCATTTTTACAACACTTAAACAATGTTTAGGGACTAAAGACACCAAGTGATGTTTCAGGTGTAATTTTGTCCCATTCTTCTCACAAACAAGTCTTAAGGTAGACTACAGTACAGAGTCTTTGTTGTCACAATTTGCACCTCAAAATGCGCCACACATTCTTTATTAGAGGCAGGTCAGGACTGCAGGCAGGCCAGTCAAGTACCTGCATCCTCTTCCTCTGCAGCCAGGACTCCGGACAATTTTTGGGAATGTGATGCAGGTCTGAATAACAGGAAAGGATGTATATTTATAAATGAAAATTTGACCTGACAAAACATATAATATTTTGTTCATATTGTATGCATTGAAATACAAATCAAAGTAAATTTGGAATCACTTTTTTTTCTTTTTTCCTGTCATACTGTCCCAACTTCTTTCTGATTTAGAGTTGTACAATATATTTGAATAGAAATAAAGTTACTTCAGTTTATAATAATATTTACACAATATTATTATTTTTGCACAATTTACACAATTTTCTAACCATTTTTACCTAACTATTACCAATATTCCTACAACTATTTATCCAATTTTTGATCACATAAATTCAGTCTTGGGAAGCATAAACTTCTTTAAAAATAAACAATTATTTCAGTATTTTTACTCTTTTTTATAAGATTTAGTTATGAGTATTTTGGAAGGCTGTTGAGTGAAAATAAATAAAAAATCTGTCAATTTTTTTTAAAGGAAATAATTTAATTTAAAACCTAATAATAATAATAATAAAAAACAGTATTTTTCCCAGAGATGGGTTGTGGCTGGAAGGGCATCCACTGCGTAAATACTTGCTGGGTAAGTTGGCGGTTCATTCCGCTGTGGCGACCCTGGATTAATAAAGGGACTAAGCCGACAAGAAAATGAATGAATGAATGAAAACAGAATTTTTTTCTGACCCTTTAATTAATATTTATCATTTTGAATTTACATATAACATTTTCATTTAACAATAGCTGGTGGTTTTATTCAAAGCGACTTACAAATAAATTATTTATTTATTTAGTGCCTTGAAGACTTCTGTGCAAACATATGTTTCAGACTCAATATGAGACTTGCATTTTTAACTTCCCTCTGCTGAAGTAAACGTCTTTTTAAAAGCTTGCATTGCACAGTATTTAATAAAAATGATTTAGTCAAAAATACTATTAAAGTTAAGCATAATGTGTTTTTTTGTATGTGTGTCTACAGGAAGAGCTGGAAGCAGCGAAGAACTTCCTGTATCTGGAGATGGGTTATAAAGCTCGCTCTGAACAGCTCAGCAAGACCACCGAGATCTCACTCACTCCTCAAGAGGTGGCCAGGTACATGAGATGAGTGACTTTAACTCCATACAATAGTCCAGATGACACACTCTCCTAATAATCTCATTACTTCGACTGACAGGTATAAGAAACGCTTTTATAAATTTGACAAGGAGAGCAAAGGCTTTATCACAACAGTGGATGTCCAGCAAGTGCTAGAGGTGAGTTATACAGTCTTCTTCAGTTACAGTGTCATGTAAATCTAGCTTTTACATCTCATAGTGCAACAATCTGGTACTTTTCTTTAATATGCCTATCATATGATCTTGGCCATTTCACCTTTTATATATTAAGTCATATTAGAACAATTTCTGAAGTATAATGGGGCACTAAAGACTGTAATTATGCTGAACATTCAGCTTAACCATTATAAAAATAATACTATAATATATATACACACACACACACACACAGTTGAAGGCAAAATTATTAGCCCCCTTCAAATTTTTTCTTCTTTTTAAAATATTTTCCAAATGATGTTTAACAGAGCAAGGAAATTTTCACAGTATGTCGGATAATATTTTTTTTTCTGGAGAAAGTCTTATTTGTTTTATTTTGGCTATAATAAAAGCAGCTTTTAATTTTAAGCTCAAAATTATTAGCCCCTTTAGGCTATATTTTTGTTCGATAATCTACAGAACAAACCATTGTTATACAGTACAATAACTTGCCTAGTTACCCTAACCTGCCTAGTTAACCTAATTATCCTAGTTAAGACTTTAAATGTCACTTTAAGCTGTATAGAAGTGTCTTTAAAATATCTAGTAATATATAAAATACTGTCATCATGGCAAAGATAAAATATATCTATTATTAGAAATGAGTAATTAAAACTATTAGGTTTAGAAATGTGTTGAAAAAATCTTCTTTCCATTAAACAGAAATTGGGGAAAAAAATAAACAGGGGGGCTAATAAATTCAGGGGGACTAATAATTCTGACTTCAACTGTATTTAGATGGAGCTTGCATGTTCTCCCCGTATTCCTCGGAGTACTTTGGTTGCCCCACAGTCCAAAGACATGCACTATAGGTGATTTGAATAAACTAAATTGGCCCTAGCGTATATGTGAATAAGTGTGTATGGATGTTTCCCATTACTGGGTTACAGCTGTAAGGGCATCTGCTGTTTAAAAACATATTGTGGAAAAGTTGAATAAAGGGACTAAGCCGAAGGAAAATGAATGAATGAATATATATTTAAATGATGGTTATATTTTACTAAATACTGATTAATATTTCACTAATTACATTATTTATATTTCATACTTTTTGAAAGTATTTTTGATCAAATTATTAAAGTTTCCAGAAGAGGCTCATTAGAAATACAAGCTTCAGCCTACATTTTTGTGAAACTGTAAAAACAAAGTATCATACGAATTACGGGACTTTTCCAGGCAGAAATAACAAAACGGGAGGGTGGCGGGAGATGGGTGTGAAATACGGGAGACTTCCAGGAAAAACAGCAGTAGCTGTAAAAATAGCTGTAAAATCAGGAGCTTGCTCTTGTAGGGGTATGATTATGACATAGAGCCTGTTGTTGATGTCCCAAGAGGAAAACCTGCTGCTGACACCAGACAGCAGCTCATCAAACTGGGCTCAACTCAGTTGGAAGCACCTCTGAAAGCTGTCATCATCCAGGTATAGTTTCTGAAGGAGTTGATGAGCTCACAGAGCTGGGTGCACCTCTGAAAGGATCTTTTGGACTCAGACACGGCGCCGAATGAATATACACTGTTTTTCAGCCTTTCTAAAGCACAGCTACTCTCTCAATAATATCAATGTTAGCCATTTACAGTAACAATGAAACTAAAGTCATCGGGCCGAGAGATGCCACGTCCATAACACAAATCCACCTCTATTGTGAAATGAATATGAAGTGCGAATGTAGTGAATTTGATGCACAAATTATGCAAGTAAACATAAAACGCCTTCTCTTGAACATAAAATGTACAATGAAACATAACATACAGAGTAACACATTTCAAAATAATTTAAATGTAGACAGCGCTCTCTAGTAAATTTGTCATCTGAAACGTGCAACGTGTAGGCTAAGGTACAGATTTCCAATGAGCCTGGACTGTAATTCCTCATCATAATGCTGTGTTCACACCAGACGCGGAACGCGCAGATAAATCGCACTATTCGCGCGTAAATAGTCGCGTGAACATTTGAGGTTACTCGATTCATTCGCGCGTCAAACCCCGCTTCATTTGCGCGTCAAACCCCGCTTCATTCGCGTATCAAATTCACTTCAGAACAGATGCGGATTCGCATGATGGGCAGGGCTTCTGTCTGCCCCGTGGCTCTAGCTTCATAGCTAAAGGGCTAACATGGATTTTATGAAGAAAATAACAGTGTTTATGTGCTTTATGAAGGATGATAAACAGTGTCAATACGTTTAGAGCTGTGTTTGAGTAAACTACATCCTTTCAGAGGTGCATCCAGCTCTTTAAGCTCATAGACTCCTCCAGAAACTGAACCTGGCTGACGGAGGCTTTCAGCGGTGCTTCTGACTGAGCCCAGCCCAGTTTGATAAACTTCTTGTCGATGTTTGCTGGGGGATTTCCAATGGGACACCGACAACAGGCGATACGTCACAATCACGCCCCCACAAGAGCAAGCTCCTGATTGGTTAACGCGGCACGAATGTCCGCTAAAGTCCAGATTTTCTAATGCGAGCGCAAAATGCTCAATTCGCGCCACGCCATTCGCGACATGCGCACCGCGCAATTCTCGTCATTCGCGCGTATCGTGCCGCAGGAGGTCTGTTCGCGCGTTTGCATTGACTTAACATGTAAATCACTCGCGCTTGACGCGCGTGCCGCGTCTGGTGTGAACGCAGCATAAGACTTTTGCTAAAGCATAAAACAGTTCAAAAGTGTAATGTTAATTCATTTTCATTCTTCATACTTTATAGATTACCTCTACTTACTATGTACAAACCAATTCGAATTGTCTCTTTAAGTAAAACGCTCAACAATTCTGTGTTGAGCAGAACAGGGATTCGCATGTTAACTGTATTCTTTAGAGACAGAAATGAAGCAAATGTCTGTATTCATCACCATAAATACAATTTTAAATAATTTCCCTCATGCTTATTAGCCGTCATTCTCTTAGCTCTCATCATCTCTGGTTCTCATGCAGTCCATAAAGGGGCAGTTCACCCAAAAATAAAAAATTATGTCATCATTTACTCCTCTGCTTTTTCCAAATCCCTCTGAGCTTCTTTCACCTGTCGAACACAAACGAATATATACCAAAGAACAGCCATAGTATACATTGTTCCTACTATTGATGTTAAGGGCTGCTTTTTTCCAACATTCTAGAGAACATTTTGTTTTGTGTTCAGTAGATGTTGAAGAAATTTTTATTTTTGGGTAAACTATCCCTTTTAACATTTTCTTTCTGCTGCATCTCTGATTCTAATTGTGTCACCGATTTGTGCGTTTTCAGAGACTCAGTATTCACATTGACGAAAATGCTCTTCACGAGATCCTCAATGAAGTGGACCTCAACAAAAACGGACAGGTGGAACTGGATGAGTTCCTGCAGGTACGAACCCTCATACTCCGCTATTTATAGACCAAAGTCTTGTCTTGGTGTGGCTTTAGTTTTCAGGCAGAATTCATAGCTATAGGTGTGAAAAAGCCTCAAAATTAACAGTGCTTGTTATCTTCATGTCAGTATATCCATGTTTTGTCATAAGTCCGCCGCTACATGGCGATTAGTAGCTCTGAAATGTCACACTCGCGTCAGAACGACTCTGAAGTTGATCTGCTGTCTCTGGAGTTTCAGTTAATTAATAATTACCAGCACCATTCTGTACTTTTTACCGTAATGAAGCATGAACTAGATTAACAGATGTGGGTCGGGAGAGAGGTGTTAAAAGTAATAATCACCCTTTCTGGGGTTTGAACCGGTAACCTTTAAATAACTAGCCTAGGCTTTATGCAAAGTCCATTTGAAGACCCCCGTGGTGGAAATCAGGCTTTTAATGTTGTTTAGATGTTGTTTTTAATATGCTTAAAGGCAAACCACATACAAAGTACTTCAGTCAGCACTAATGCTGAACATTTTATCATTAAAGTCCGCATGAAATCAAAATCTTGATTATTTATTTTGCAAGCGCACAATGTTAGTCTTCAAGTGAAAAATAAATCTGTGCAATACACAAAATACCTGTAGAATAAAAATACAGTTGAAGTCAGAATTATTCCCCCTTCTGTGATTATTTATTTATTTTTTTTTTTCAAATATTTCCCAAATGATGTTTAACAGAGCAAGGTATTTCTGATAATATTTTTTTCTTCTTGAGAAAGGATTATTTGTTTTATTTTGGCTAGAATGAAAAGTTTTTAATTTTTTTGAAAGCATTTTAAGGTCAATACTTTTTGGATTGTCTTCAGAACAAACCATCATTAAAAATTGACTTGCCTAATTACCCTATCCTGAATGATTAACTTGATTAAGCCTTTAAATTGCACTTATAGTTTAACATCTAGCAAATTATTATGTACTGTCATCTAGGAATGCAACGATTAACCAAATTCACTATTAACTGCTTTTTAGTTTTTTCCATGGTTAATTAGTCGTAAAGGCTTCCCAACACAGAGTTTCTGTTTCATGGAACAAAACTGCTGCAATTTAAAAAAGTTATATGTGCTAGTTCAGAGTTTATACAGTGAAGTTAATACGCATGTACAAAGGATTAACTGTGGCTGAGACACATAGCAGCAGTGGGCTGTTCACATAAGGTGTTTTTTCTGTGCGCAAGTTCGTTGTTTCCATTTTAGGTGCACAGCTTATATTGGGAAAACCTTTTAAAAACAGTTAAAAACATCTCACACTGTAGCGCAGTGCTTCAGTTAAAGTTGAAGTGCTTCAGAACTTGCCGGATCCTGATCTGGAAAATGTCAGATATTCGTGTTTTGCATTCCGCTTTTTATTTTAATTGATCCGGCATTATCTTGTGCGTGGTGAATACCTGCACGTGTGTGTGTGTGTGTGTGTGTGTGTGTGTGTGTGTGTGTGTGTGTGTGTGTGTGTGTGTGTTAGATAATGTAAATGAGAGCAAGCGAAGGCTGTGTGGATTGTGTAGTTGTGCACTCATACACATGACGGTAATCACCATGCTCAAGGTAAAGCAAACGTCACGATTTACTATTGGCCCTACACAATATTTTTAGCCAATCGCCTTTCTTATGTTTACAATCACTCTCATTGGTTGCCGATTGTTTCGCATGCAGTGAGCAGCGAAAATAAATAATGGCATAGTGGCCAACTTAATATGTGTATTTTCAAAATGACAAAGAGGCAGTCACACAAATTTCCATTTTTTAAAACCAAGAGTAAATCTGATAATGAGCCTGATCAAAAGAAATCTTGAGAAGATGAAACTGCACGAATAGATCAGGATAGTGGGAGACAGAAGCAAAATGATCTTAAGTCAGCCAGAAAATATGACTGAAGAGGTAACTGTGGGCTCTTCTTGAAGATTAGACTGAGTGAACCACTTAATTTTTTTTTTTTACTTGGCACATAATAGTGAACTGAAAAGTGATTGTTCATACGATTTATGACCGTTGAGAAATGTGATGCTATCACCGTTTAATGAAGTCATGTTCCGGGAAAACTGAAATTGTGTGGTGGACGTCGGTCACGGTAACTTTTATTTTTATTTGCCTTGTTCTGGGAATTATGTGTTACAAATTAAGCACTGCTGTAGCGGCAATGCAATGTAAAAAAAAAAAAAAAAAGATGTGTTAGACGAATTATTACAAATTATTAAAATGATTATGTATGTATGCATGAACACAGATGATAACAACAGTTCATTTAAATATGAGCTAATATATAGCTTAGATTTACGTTAAATCTAAAATAGAAACAAATACAATTTTTTATTTATTCTTATTTTTATTTATTTATTCATTCATTGTTCTGGCATTTATTTTCCGTGTAAAATTATTACTTCTGTTTAATCGTCGAAAACTTTTTTCACTTATTTTTAAGTGCAAAGAGAGAAATTGACTATTTTTTGTTTTTATTAATATTTTGTGCTATATTATTTGGTTACTGAGCAGCAATTAACAACACTTTAAAATATAAGGAGTTTTCATGTGATTTTCTAAGCTAGTAGTGTTTTGAAATGAATGAATGCATAATTGTGATACCGTGATTATTCCTCAGACAGATAATCTTACAACCAAAATCATCCCTACTGTCATCATGCAAAGATAAAAGAAATCAGTTATTAGAAATGAGTTATTAAAACTATTATGTTTAGAAATGTGTTAAAAGAAATCTCTCTTTTTAACAGAAATTGGGTAAACAAAAAATATACAGGGGGGCTAATAATTCAGTAGGGCTAACAATTCTGACTTCAACTGTACATGCATGCAGGATAGTGTTTTCATTTTTGTCCAAACTCTCCAGTAAAGCTAATAGACATACCTCAATTTTAAAACTAAAGCCTCCGTAATACAATAACATTAGCAGTAATATGATAATGCTTTTATAAATTGCGGCTATTAAGTTTAAATCGTACTGTAGATATCTGGCTATAACCATTAAGCTGCCAAGCCCCGTTTCAGATAGTTTGATTATGGTGTGTTCTGCTCTCTGATTGGCCCAGCTCATGAGCGCGGTTCAGAGAGGTCAGATCTCCGACAGTCGTCTGGCCATCCTATTGAAGACGGCCGAGGAAGGCCTGGATCTGAGAGGTCCCGTCTCTGTCGACCGCAGCGGAGGAGGCGTCTGAATCGCGACGGCAAACCCAAACATCTACCAGACAGAGGCTCCTACCGCAAACTTGGATAAACACCAAAAAATGCTGACCACTGTGCCCACGCCGGTCAGATCACAAGCACATCCTCTTCAGTCATTAATCGACCGGCTGGCTGCCTTCGACTACAATCACTTTCTGAAAGAAAAGAATTTGTTTTAGCATGGTTATTATTGAAAAAGTTATTATTAGTGCAGAATATATTTGAAAGAGTATATATTTTTTATTGAATGCATGCAGTGCCATGTTGTGTGACCTCCATGTTGGGAAAAAAAACAATGGAAACCATCATAGAATATAGTTTGACTTTATTAGGCATTGTATTGAATTTTAATGGCCTTTTGTGTCCCTATTAGCATTTTTTGCTTTCTGTTTATCTTTTTTGCTCTCTATTAATCTATTTTAAAATAAATCCCAATGTAATATGTCTCAAAACGCACCATAAAGCATTAAAATGTAGTGTTTTTGATTGTTTAATAGCATTGTTTTAGTATTTGTGCACTGTAAACAAATGCTGGGTTCCACTCAATTCCTTCTTGTTATTCAAACACAAATCAATTAAGTTACTTAATTGTTTTCAAATTTAAATGGACTCACATAAAACATATAGGTTGTCCCTAAAAAAAACTTAAGAATTGTGTTGTATCATCTCATTTTAAATAAGTCAATTGAACAAGCAGCAAAAGTCGTTTTATGAGTGTAGTGGAAACCATTAGCACTTCTGTGGTGGTTTCTGTTGTTTTGATTTTTCAGCTGGGCTGGTAAGCATAAATAGAATTTTTCTTTAATGTTTTTTTATCCACTGAGCTTTCTGTTGTGCCATTTTATTCAAGTAAATGATTTGCTACTGAACACATTGTGGTGAGGTTGCTCAAGGGCTGCTGGTGTCTTCTGAGGTAAATAATGCACTATATGTAAATTTATTTGCAGTTTTATACTATACACTGCTTATTCATCACTATGCTGAACTACAGTGATGATTACTTTTACGTATTTCAAACTCTCCTGATGTTTATGTATTTATTCAAAATCTATCATTTCTGTTATACTACTGTATATGTTTTCTTTAATTAATGAATGTTGATTATTTAAGGGATATTGTACATCTAGGTGGTCCATCAACTGCCTTGATGTACATTATTACACTTATTACACGGCTTCTAGTCATCACACTCGAAAGATTGATCTGGGCTGTAGTAATTTACTAACTTTTTAATTAAATGTAATGCTTGCAGAAACAAAAAGCGGCTGAATGCAGCCTACACTAACCTACGTATAATTGATTCACAGAATTGCACTAAAACAATCAAGAACAGTGCCATGAAAGATATAAGCATAAGAAGATACTAACTAATGGTCAGGATGATTGGTAGTACACGGATGAGCCCATATGAAAAATACTTTATTAAATACTATAACATTTACATTTAAATTACATTTAGTACTATAACACTTCTGCAGCAACAGGACATCAACATGACATCGTATTGACATTGTGGGAACGATGGATTTGAAACGAAAATCGGGTTGATGTTAGAACCCAACGTCAGGCCGACATCAATGTTTAATGTCCAACATAAAATCAACCAAATATCAATGTCTAATCATGTCACATCTTGAGACTGTGTGGACGTTATCACTATGACACGTTGGATTTTGGTCACTTTCCAGCACAACCTAAAATCAACCAAATATCAACATAATTTGACATGGTTATTGCACATAAAAGAAAAAGTTGTCCTTAGACGTTGGCTAGACATTGAAATTTGGTTACTTGACGTCACAACCTAAATCTAACCTAATATTAATGTCTTATGATGTTGTGTGCCTGCTGGGATACCATAGTATTTAAAGTCAACATGAAATGAGAATTTACAATGTTTATTTTTATTTAAAGTGAACAATTAATCTGTGCAAGTTAATTCACTGGAAAATAAATGTTTGTTTCTGTAATCTTTAATCAAAGATCCATAGCAACTGTATAACAATAATCTTTACCATGTCCTTATTACTTTTAGTTTGTTATGAGAGAATGATGCATAAAAAGAAAGCCCTGCCCCTACTCAATATTCTGTTTCAGTTGGGACTAAATTAACATACTGGAATAAAAGTCTCAGCAACTTCCGTTTCACGCGGACTTTAAGTACTTAAATTACGCTGTTGTGATAATACTATAGTTGCTATGGCACAGCAACTATAGTAATATCAGAGCCATAGAGAGGTGCGACAACGGAAGTCCAAAAAGATCAATCGTGGTGTGACTCATGTCGACTTGAAAGTGCTTCAGTTCATTTAAATAATGTTACACTGTAAAACAAATTCTTACTGCCTTTTATTTGTAGTTGAATCAAATTAACTTTTCTAAATCAGTCAAACTGACTAAAAATGTTTTGTTAAACTTTGTATAGCCACAAAAAAATGTTGAAACCTGATTAACTTATTAAATTAAGTTCAAGTAACGTAAAAAAAAAAAAAACATTTGTTGTCATGGCTTTTTGCCATTTAATTTTTACAGTGTAGATAACGTTAAAACATACACAATTTTAATGTTGAAAACTTTGTACCTTTCGAAAGTGCAAAACCAACTGTCTTCAGCTGTAACTCAGCTGTAAGTGCTAATTTCTGGGAATTATTGACTGGCTCCATGATCCGCCATTGCTGTTGAACAACAACAACAACAACGTTCCACTGGAGTCAATGGTGTTGTCGCAACTTTCTCTCTCTATGGCTCTAAGTAATATAAGCAAACTACAATACTGGTTTTGTACAACTATACACTGTAAATAATGCTGGTTTCCACATAATTCCTTCATGTGGTCCTAACACAAATCGAATAAGTTAACTTATTTGTTTTTACAAATTTAAGAGGATTGAAGATAAAGCAATTAAATTGTCCCCCCAAAAAAACTCAATAATTGTATTAAATCAGCTCATTTTTAAATAAGTAGTTTAAGCAAGCAGCAAATATATTTTTTGAGTGTAGGTTATATTATACTACAAAACACCACAGTTTACTACAGTAAAAACGAAAGTATACGACACTGTTTATTAGTTTATCAGTTCACTGTAGTTAATTCTACAGTAGCTGTGCTGTACAATTTATTAACATTGTACATACTATAATACAGTGCTCAGCATATATAAGTACTCCCCTCACAAATCTGTTTTAAATTCATGTTTTGAATAGGAAGCTTTTCAATATTATATTTGTGTATATGCATTAGATTATTCTGTACTGAAGCCAAATCTGGAGCGTATCTAACAAAATAACTTACGATAACGGTCCAAAAACTAGCACAACCAAATTTATGTTATAGAAAAATATTAAATACAAATACTAAAAAAAAGAGGAAAAATCAAGAGAAGAAAAAAAAAAATAAAATTGTAGAAATTTTGTAGGTGTTTTTTTTTTTTTTGCTTGAATTTAATTGTATTATCTTTCTATTTCTATATATGTTTGGTGACAAAATATTTTAATAAATATATCTGTTTAATAAACCGATTTTGTTTAAATGCACCAAAATACATTGCCTATATTCACTGAGAAATAGATACAAATATTTATTTTCAAAATGGGGTGTACTCAATTATGCTGAGCACTGTGTATATACAGTATAACACACATTACCATAATTCAAAAACACAATAGTATTTACTACAGTATTTTTTAATCTGGAAGCTTGTCTTATTAGTTTCAGCAGTTGTTGTCTAGGAATAACTTACCTTGGCATGTCGTGATTGGCCGATCAGAATTGGGTATTTCAGTGAGCCGTGTAATAAACACATTTTAAAATACAGGTTATTTATTTCCATTGAGGGTTCTATAAGGAGCCATTACATCTTAAGTAACTTTCCATTCCACGAAAGGTTCTTAATAGTGAAAAGGCTTTTTAGGATTGTTTAAAAGAAAAACTTAAGAATTGTGCACTGAAATATTCATCGGAGAACATACAGTACATGTAAACTCCATTTTGAAAGCTTTTATTTTTAAGAGTGTATGTAGTTGTGTTTTATCCAGATCAGTTGTTGTATTTTGTCTTAATCAGGTTGTGTCCAGTCTTTTCATTAGCTCTGATTCAACTAATTTTACAGGTATAATTAGACTTAAGAGTGTTTGTTTGAATGATGAACAGTTAAAACTTTTTCTTAATCCTTGCCTGAACAAGCAATTTGTTTTTCCATTCATCATGAAATAATATGGAACATTATAGATGATGCAAACGATATAGAGGATAACAGGGAATGTACTTACGTGCCTTACTTTTTAAAGGGATAACTATAGTTTACTCCAAATTTAAAGAGTCATTTTTTTCATGAGATTCTTTGATGTGAGGAAATAAAAAATAAGATATTCAGAGAAATGTTAGTGTGAAAACTGTATAGGATCCTATTGACTTTTTATCCCTAAAATGAAAGTCAATGAGAATTGATACCATTTGGTTTTCAACATTCTTTGAAATGTCGTCTTTTACTGTTTGGAACCACATGAAAGTAGTCGAATTTGGGTGAACTGTGCCTTTAAAAAGTCACTTTTGCATGTCGAAACGCACAGTCCAATATACACTAATAACTCAGTCTTTAACTTTATTTTTTATTGATTTATGTTCAATCTTTAAGAACACAGAACCGGCTTTTTAATGAGCTTGGATGCTTTAAGCTTGATGATATAAATGAATATTGTTTTGTACTTTAAGGCTTCTGTGATTTTATAATCCATTTTGGTTCATTAACATAATGTTTTTTAAAGCAAAACGACCACAAAGATTGTCATGGATCTTCCAGGATCACTGTTTTGTTTGTGGGTAAGAGAGGAACCGCCGACTATTAACACATGAGAGCAGATGCAGTTTATCTAATTTATTGTTTGTCCCGACAGGATGTAATTTCAGCCTGATCCTGATTGAAAGAGATTCATATTTTGTGAAAACAGAATGTAGAGGAAATCAATCTGCAATGCCTGAGAAACACAATTCTGTAATTAAATGTATCTGGTTGCCTTGCTCATTGTTCGGATGTGCCTTTATTTTGTGACTGACTGTTGTTATGTTCAGTGACTTCATGTTTCTCACATAATGTTTGTTGTAGATGAAGCATGTGTTGTCTTCTTCTCACGTATGTTTCTCTCACCCAGACAGAGCCTAAAATTGACAGTCGACAAACACCAATTTGGAAAAACACATCAGTGTTGGTATGTACAAAGCAAAAAATGCTTTTCTTACTGTTTTTTTTTTTATCGTTTCTAATCAAAAAATCTAAAAATTCTTAAATTAAGAAACATTTTCTATGCAAGCGATACATTTTAAGGAAAACATTTTATTTTAAGGAAAAACTTACATAATTTTGACAAATAATTTCCTAAAGGGCACCTATTTACCCCCTTTTTCAAGATTTATGACAAGTATTTTGTGTCTTTTTAGAATGGGTCTGTAAAGTATCAACTGAAAACACCCATCGGATTTGTGACACCTTTAAGTGTCATAACGTCCACAAACCGGGATTCCATAATGGAAATCAACAAGAACCATAACTACCAACATTTCTTCAAATTGCTATAAAACATAATGCACATACACACATTTAGATTGACAAGCGTGAGTAAATGATGACAGAAAGTTCATTTTTGAATAGACTGTCCCTTTAAGGTGCTTAACCAGGACCTCTGCTTGAGTTAATATGCATGCAGTGTAATTATATCGGATTCACAGGGTTATTCTGACACCATCTGAAATGAGGATTAGCTGTAGCTGCAGACCTGGGATGTTAGTTTAATTGCATTTTGCTAGGTGCTGATTTGGCTGGAATGGGCCACACTCATCTCACACTGTGAAAGAGGCTGCGGCTCCAGGGATTATTAGCCAGGCGGACAACGAGATGCCCCGAAAGACCCTTTGGGCTCAGACCCCTATTAATCAGCAGTATTACTGCATAATATGCTCATCAGACACATAGTGGTTGCTTTAAAGTCAATTAGTTGACATATTCCATCAACATGAATGGCCGGGGGAAGGGCTTAACTAACATTTTGCCACATCTGCCAGTGACTTGAGGAAAAATGATTAGCCAGGAAACTGTGTTAAAGACAGACACGGCAAATTAGGAAAGCACATCTAAGAGTGATTATTACTATTAAAACTATTGAATTGTCAAATATTTCATAATAACTTATGAACAGGTCCTAGATCAGTTCAGTAATAATTAATTTCCTCATTAAAGCATCACCTCTGCATAAAATCC